TGAGCAACATTGGTGAGCGTTGCGGATGGGGTCGACCGTTTCAAGTACCCGGTGCCATTCAGAATAAACAGACAAATGTACAGACAGACAAATGTACAGACAGACAGACAGATCAAAATTTTAGCGTTCCCGAGAAAGACTATCGCCTTTAAAAATATTTCGTTGTAGCGAGAACTCTGATGCATTGACTTCTATGGCAAGCTGACGGGGAATAAGAAATACTTCATTGAAGCAGGAATTTCGTTGAAGCGGCATTTGTTATAGCCGGGTTCGACTGTAAACGGAAAAGAGAAGATGACAGGACAGATAAAAAGTGAGAGATAAAGACGAAGATGTAGGGAGAGATAGGAAAAGGCAACTGCTGATTTCCCTGAGCGGGTCAGCCCAGGGGTGCCGTCTACGTGAAGCCGGGGCCAAAGGGGTGTGTTGCCTCTGCCGGGGGGCCTTAAAGGTCCAAGCACCCAGCGTCAGCTCAACCCCCATAATCCCCTTTTTCCTGGACACGGTTTAGCCACGCACGGCTAGGCATGGGAGGAAGTCGACCCCCCCCCCCCCCCCCCCTGTTAGCTTGGGTCCACACCACACGCCTGCTTATGCAGACGCCCCTGCGGGGGCTCTCAACAGGATGTAACGTCATTCTAACTCAACCACTGCAAATGTAAGAAAAAATATCAGCTAAAGAGGTTCCCCTGATCAGGCATACGCCAACTAAAATCGAGGTCAGATTGATGGCGTTCAAAGTAGCACACTGCACAGGTGGTGACAATAAAAGCAAAGCTCAAGCAAAACAATTTATCTGGTTGTGAACAAGAACCCACATATGATCACATGATTAGTATCGGTTGGTATTGCATTCCATAAGCTCTGTTTTATCTGACTTCTTGTCCGGGACATTCTGCAAACAAATATTCCTTTGAGAATGATTAGCATAGGAATAAAAAACCTGCTACAGGCGGTTAGCTCAAACAGCGCCCTGGCTGGTATTATTCAATCGTGCCAAAGATCTGTTGCTGTGTGTGCCACTGCAATGTGCTGACTAAACTTGAAATATATGCTCTTTCAGGTGTTGTATCTATGCTATCCGAGACTAGGCAGGCACAAATTGGTTGGGGTGTTGTCAAACCGCATATGATAGCATCTTCTCAAGTCATTAGAACTGCCGTTGAATGCTCAAACAGAAAGAAAACCAACGGTGAACTTTGATTTTGAGGGCACCCTCACGATCACTGGCACGCGTGCTATCTCGGCAAGCATCAGTGTACTTTCAACGCGAAGAGACTGCGTGAAAAGAGCACTTCTCCCTGGAGCAGCCGTATTTGCTCACACCAGCGTTTTGTAAAAGTTCCGCGATGTCAGATCCAAAAGAGTCGGCTGCCAGTCTTACTTCATGTAATATTACAATTTGTTGCTATCGCACTCATAGCATTGCATTCAACGCACCGTCCTGTTGTTGCCACAGCTAATCGCGACGGCTGCGATTCTGCGCACTCGCGGTACAGCACAAGACGGAAGCGCGTGATGAGGCGACCTCCGAAGATCTGTCATCGTCACCGTGGTGTCGGAGAGTTTCCATCAGCACCTAATCTGACATCTCCTCAGTATTGACGACACAGTTGTCCACATTTAAAAAAGAAATAAGGCAAGGCTGAACATCGTCGGGTGCCAAACCATGCTTTCGTAGTGAAACCACGCACTAGCGCAGAGCGGCGAAAACAAAGAGCAAACGACACGGATACCGTCGAAAACTTTTTCATAAAGCACCTCCATTAGCAGTGGCGCCCCACATATGTCACGCTAACTAACAGCGTGGCACTGCCAATGCAAAAGTTGTTTTTTGTTTTCTGTTTAGAGGGAGGGAGAGGCACATCAGTGCATGCGCCCATGGCAACTAACACGGCGGCAGTGCTGGCTTGTGGAGCGGAGGCCTGCCTGCTGCCTCGTGCCCACTCCCGCTCAATAACGAGCGCTTGCTCACACCTGGGAATCGCTGAGGCCAAGAGTGCGCCGTGCGCACCGCCACCGCTTCGCACTTCGTCGTCGGTGAGGCAACCATGAAAGATGCATGCTCGTGTCAAAATGACAAAACTCAGGGGAAAATTTCTAGATTGCCCGTGGCCGAAATTCATTATATCAAGGATGTCTCCCGCTGTAACATTGTTACATAGAGGTTGAAAAGACATGTGCTTCTATGGAGTAACGATGGGGAATGAACCACTTCGTTATGTTGAGGAATTCATTATGTGAAGAAATTCGTAGAGGTTCATTATAAGCAGGTTTACCTGTATTCTAACCGACTGCCAATGGGATCAGTCAGCTGCTTTAAAGGGACACTAAAGGCAACTATTAAGTCGACGTTGATTGTTGAAATGGCGGTCCAGAAACCTCATATCGTTACTTTTGTGCCAAGAAAGGGTCCATTTTGAAATAAAATCGTGTTTAAGTGGTCCGCATCGGGTTAGCCCACTTCGAATTACCCACCTGAAGAAGCGGGCCAACTGGACTAACTCGCATCACTGTTGCCGTGCACTACAATGCCCGGCTTTACTGCGCTAGTAGTAGCAGCAGACCAAAAGCAGCAGGAGCCACAGCAGCAAAAACGGTCATTGATCAATGTGCTGCCCATGGTGCAAGAATACTTTACGTGAGTGAACGACGCGAAGCAAGCGCTTGGTGGGGAGGGACCGATTAAGTTCTCGTTTGCGGCGTGCCGCTAGATGGCTCGCCGTTCTGAGGACCGTGGCGGGCTGCTGGCGAATTCTGCAAAGCATATCCGGCACGAGAGCGAGGGTTTCCAAATCAGAGAAAACCGAGTAATCACGCGATATCAACCACGTGACACGCATAGAGCAGCGCCGCGGAAAATAGGGTGATAAGGGAGGAGGTTGACGATGCGGTGAGGGTGTTGTGGCGACGATAAATGAGCACCCCTACTTTCCTACATTATAGGGCTTTCCTACACCGAGAAGGGGGGAGTGGAAGCCGAGGCAAAGTTTGTAGCGCCATCTCCGAGGCTCCCTAGCCAAGCAGAACATTATCGGGCAGCTGATTGTCCTGGTGTTCACTCACCGAAAGTATTTTTGCACTGTGGTCCCGCCATTGACTTCGAGATTGCAAAAGATTTTGTTTCAACTGTGCCCCGCTAGATGGCACCACCTGTCCCGTGTAACCACGCGAAAATTGAATTTTCGAACCACTCACGCCATTCCCCATAGTAACGTCCCGCGGTTCTTTTTTCCATTAATCAAACAGACACGAACAAGAAGCATTTTTTGAGTCTCTTGATGCACGGAGGGTTCTTTATTTAGTGCAGTTAGATAGATTACTAGTGATTAATTGTAGGCGGTCCGTCTGAGGTCATCGGTATCATTTTGAAAATGTTCTACTGCGGTGCTTGTGTTCTTGTGCATTTACCTTAATTTCTCGGTAATCAGGGCACTATTGTTGATAATATTGTCATTTTAGATGTTGTCATACATTGAGCTTTCACTCTGACGTGAATTGTTATTTGACTTAAGATGAATCAATTTACATGAAGCAATTTCAAGTAACTAAGCTTCCACTGCACCCAAAAAGCTAGGCCTGCATGTCTTGGTGCAAGCTGGAGGAGCAGCCTTAGAGCCCATCGTGAATTCTTTAAGTGCACATACTGCACATATAGTTGCCACTAGTCCACTATGCATTTATAAGGCAATGCATGCACTTTTGTAGCTGCACACTGTGTTGATGCTGTGACTAATAGTGATGATGATGAATCACGGCTCAGCCCTTAGTAATTGGTGGGTAGATTTAATAAACATCTACCCATTATGCAATTCACAGAGTGACAGCTGGATTGATTGTCTGCTTCGGCCAAACAAGATACATTTGTAAACGAAACTCCACACGTAACGTGACGCCAGCATACCAGCATAGCAGCTTTTTCAGCAGAAGTCTCAGGCACCAGTGTGGCTCTGTCGTAAAATTCTTTGCTGCCACGTAGAATTCCCGAGTTCAATCTAGCCCCCCTCCCCCCCCCGCCCTTTTATACCTACTGTGCTCGACAACAGGCAACAGCGGTGGTGGTGGCAGACTGCAGTAGACAACACAGCCACCAAATCTGTAGTAGTGAATTCACAACAGCTTACACTATAAGTGAGAAACCAAGGTTGCACAGCCTTAATGGCTGATCCTGTACCTGAGACTATTATTACCAAAAGTTCCACAGTCAGTGTGCTTTTCAGTTCAATTGGCCTGATGCATATAGTATTGCATTTGCTTGAATTGAAGAAAAAAAATCTCGCTTTCAAAGCAAGAGTGAATCAATGAAAGCAATAGTAACAAATTGGCACGTTATACAAAGGCTAGCAGCCAATCCTTTTGGATCAGATCTCTCGTAACTCAACAAAATACTGGCTTGGGGGAATACAGCTTCTCCAAAGAGTGAAGCAGCTTTAGTGCAGTTGAAACTCTAAATGTGAAACGTTCAGTGTACCACAAGTTTTGAGCACTCTCGTAATGTCTGTCGAAGTAGCACCCAGCCATTGCTAACCACCACAACCTTATGAGCAATGTAGCACACCCTTCCCCTACGAAAGCTCCTTCTCCAGGTGAAACACTCCATTTGAAGGGGCCATTCAATGCAGGCGTCACATGCAGGGCAATATTATCGTATGCATCCTTTGTGTGACAGAGGTAGCCAGCACACTATTCTCACCTCTGTTTCATCCAGGTTCATCCCTAGCGCTTTCCTGTTTTTGCTCACTTGTGCTTAGAACATACAGCGTGTAGGGCAATGTTATCGATTGTTACTTTATATGAAGCATGATTGAGAAGGAGAAAATCTGACAAGGATGTCCATATTGTTGCCAATGCAATCAAATGAAATGCCATGAATCCAGTTGTTTCAGAATCTAAAACCGTAAGCACACATGGCCAAGCTTAACAAGTCTAGTACCTTTAATAATCACAGACCAGCTGCTAAGACAGCCCCCTTCAGTAATTAAAAAAAAAAAAACACTTACGATGGCCGTTTCTCCAGGATAAGTGCGGTGGTTGAGCTCGGCACACAGCCGTCTGTGCTCTGCTTTGATGGAGTGGGTGATGGGTCCCTGGGTGAAGGCACCCGTTCATCCCCAGCACTTTTGGACTTCCATGCCAACAGACCCTTAATGGTAGAGAGACGGCCATGCTGCCTGGCACCCTCATCGGAGACAGACAAGTCGGTGCTGACTGAAGAGCCGCTGGTGAGAGAGACGGAGTCTGATGGTCCGTCAGCGGGAGCTCGTCGCAGCAGCCGTGTGGAAGGCTCATAGACTAAAGCCAGGCCGTCGAGGGCCCCGTCAAGGCTGGCCAGGCCGCAGCCGGCCGGCTGCCCAGATGGGGGCAGGCCGCCGCCACTCAGGGCCCTGCAAGCAAGCATGCTACCAGTGTTTTTCATTCACATAGACTCTAACTTAAAAGGGAAGTGGGATCATACTGGCAATATTTTAGTGGACAATGGCTCATTAAAAGAATATGAAGCGAAACACAAACATAAATTCTCCCATAAAAATAAACTATGGCATAAATGATGCAATAGCGGGACATCACAGAATCTGTCTGGTATTCAAAATTCTGTGTCCTGCAAATGGTAACGAAACCAAAAGTGGGCAGTCTCTCTTTCCTATTATCTGTTTTTTTTTAAAGATTAATTATCAGCGGCTAAGATGCTGACCCATCACCTCCACATAAACATTCTACAGGAATTCAAGTGTACATACAGTTAGCACCTATCTTTTAAGTACATACTTTCTGGACTATTATTCCTACACTAGAAGTAAAAGCGACAGATTTAAAAAAACACTAAAAGCGACAGATTTAAGAGAACACTAAAACATGCGATGTCTTTTAATGACAATGCAACAGCTCACTTGCTGCTGTTCTCTAAGCAGTGCGGCTTCTCAGCTCTCATGCACCAAGGGGTACGCACCATTTTTAGCTCTTGTGATGGCAATGCAAAGACAGATCAAACAAAAATGTGAATACTTCTCATGCTTTTTAAGCTTGATAAATATCACTTGGCAGTGTGTGTCCACTCTGCATTACAACATAATGGGGATTCGATAAAGCTATTGATACTTTTTTTTTATTTCTCAAGGATACTGAACTAATTGTACTTCTTGATTAGCACACTGAGCTTACCTGTGTTCACAACTGCTCTTTCAGATTATTTTAACACATCCACAGTCTTTACAGTTTCCTCCTAGCATGTATTGCAGCCATGGCCAACCATGCAGCATTTGAATTGATTGATATGTGGGGTTTAACATGCGAAAACCACCATATTATAACCACCTAGAAATTTTAACCACCTAGGGTTCTTCGACGTGCACCCAAATCTGAGCAGGGCCTCCAGCATTTTCGACTCCATGCAGCATCCGAAGGTTATAACTTCGTCAACTGAAATACAGGGGTCTTGTATTGCAATAGTGAGGAAGTTCACAACCCTGTGCACTCTGCATTATTTAAAATTGGGCTTCAGTCATATGCTGATTGTTCTTTCCAACATCTGCGACTGCCAGATTAATGTCTGAGATGTCCAACTACTACAGCCCACAAATGCATTATCTGTAATGCAGAAAGAGTCCAGCTATACTAGTTTGGTGACAATGTACACAAAACCGAATGAAGGAATATAAATAGATCAAGGGCCCCTGTACTGTCAAAAACCATATGAAGACAAGGAACGAATTGGACTCAATTTCAAAAACCGTCTACTACATTTTCATCATATTATTGGGAACAAGATACTGCACATACTGTATTGCTGGCAAAAAGAATTATTACATGAACGGATTATTGGTCAAGTACCGAAGGCATTTCCAAAAATTTTGGCAGGAGTAACACTCTTGTAACACAAGGCAAAAGACTGGCTGCTTTCGTGCACGTCAAATGAGATTGATATGTGGGCTTTAACGTCCCAAAACCACCATACGATTATGAGAGACGCCGTAGTGGAGGGCTCCAGAAATTTTGACTACCTCGGGTTCTTTAACGTGCACTGGAATCTAAGCACACGGGCCTACAGCATTTTCGCCTCCATCAAATATGCAGCTGCCGCAGCCAAGTACCTTAGCCACTAGGCCACCGGGGCTACAAGTCAAATGAGTTACAACAAGCAATTATGTTTGGTTTGCATTAAGTAGACTCTTTTATTGCCCAATGCCGGAACTTTTGCTTTTGTATGTCAAGGATAGAACACTTGACTGCCACGCAGAATGCCTAGGGTCAATAGACCCTTTCATTATTTCGCAAGTGCACTTCTCTGTCCTGCATAGTTGCCCAATAAATGGTGGCACCTTTCATGCTTCAAGCGGAGACGCAGTCCTAGTTGAACGTGCTGGGAGCTCGTCTACTATGCATGTTTATATCAAAAGAGCCAACTTTACATTTGTCATGTCACAGCGTCAGCAATTCGCGCTTTAACAGGCTGCTAGCAGTAAGTCAATGCATGAGTTGTTCATACCGCATGGCGGGAAAACTAACTTTAAGATTTTGAAAAGGGTCTATTCTGGCACTAATTCTGTCTTTTGAGGTCACGCTAGAGAGGTCACACAAGTTTCTATACAGTAAACACCTTTTTTTTTTTTCAAGGCCATCGTCTGACGAGACAGTTAAAGCTGTCACTCTAAAATGAAAAAAACACACACACACTTGCCAGCTATACAACTATCTTAGCATATAGTTAAAGAATTCAAGCAACAAATCATTTTACTGGTAACTTCGTGATCACTTGATTCGTCTTCAACGACATTGGTACGAAAATCCTGCAGGCTCACACTTTGATCACCCAGCCACACCATACACAAATGATTTTTCAAGTACGTGTTATATATACTCTTGCCTAGAAGTATAAACCTAATTTTGCATACCAAAGAAAGAAAAAAAAACTTTCACAAGATTTCTTTCTTGAAGAAACTTGTGCAAGTTTTTGATGTCATGCCAATTTCCCTGTGAATGCTTGGCATGATGAAAGAATGAAAATATGAGAGAAGACATCAGCAAGGAAGACAAGAAGCCAAAGTATGGAGGGGAAGTTATGGCTTTATAAAACTGTACAGTACTTCATTAAATGAAAGATCATGCAGGCTCCACTCATTTCACCTTTATGTAGTCATTATTATAGACCCTTTTCATAAATACGGCACCTGAGGGTGAGCTTTTGTCAGTTTCGCTTCGCAAAGGAGCGTGGGGGATAGCTAGCGCTATCATGAGGGCATGGAAAGCAAGCCGTCGAATGCGTGAGTGCTGTGATGTTTGTGTTGGCGGCTAGTTTTCCATATCATCCACTGCAATCGCACTGCTTTCTCGCTTGAACGAGCACCTAGTACTCTCCGATAAGCTTTCTAGGCTGCTTCCACTGCACAATGAGCAATATTTTGTACCCTTCAACGTGTTGGATGAGCAGTTTGGCTTGTTACGACTGGCAATTCATGTGTCCGGCCTGCAAGAGACTCATCAGCGTGCCCTCCCGACGCGGTCCCCGTCCTGTAGGAACGCAAGGGGTGTCTGTGTGCGCTGCAAGAAACGTGCATCAGCGTCGCTGGGACACACAGCCTGCATCGTCTGATGCGGTGCCCTCACAATGGCGGCAGACTGTAGTTCGCGTGCGCGGAGCTAGGGGCGCCCTTTTTCGAAAAGGGCCAATTGAACCTTTTATGTGTGTGTGTTGTTTTAGAAGGCCCTTTAATTGGATCATAATAGCTGATGCATTTTCATGAAATAGAGCCATGAACCATTTTCTGCATAACACAAACTGCGCTCCCGATAAAGCTACTCAAGGCAGAAAAATAGAACATTCCACAATGAACTCTTAAGACATTTTTTTTTTTAATTTCTCAAAAGCATTACTCACAAGGGAAAAAAAAGGTGGAAACCACATAGATGATGACAAGCAACGGCTGACACAACTTACGTCTCGCACACAATTCTTGGTAAGAATCTAATAAAAGAACTGTACTGTATTTACAACTAGTCTTGACACTGCAGAAAGGCAAGTTCTATGCGCCGTTATCTATGCAGATCCAACCAACAAGGAACACTGGCGTCACCTTTAGAGCCTTTTTTTGGCACAGCAATATACAGTGGACATTTTTTACACAGGCACATAATTTTCTATTAAGAAACACTCCACATCTCTATCTGCCTCAAGTCAACATTAGGCTGTGAATGTTCTTGATAAACAAGCATGTTTCAAATGCTTCCAATGCTACAATTCACTTTGCACCTAATTTTGGATGTCATTCATGTGGCAAGCTTGAGCATTTTTCAGCCACAAAACTCTTTACAGTAAACGAGAGCTGCCTTCACCCTGCTGTATAAACCCATTTTTCAAACTTTTCACACACCAACTTTGGCCACCAGAGAGATCTTATTCTAACCAAAAGCTAATAAATTGCAAGAAAACAAAGAAAGAAAAACATTTGTATGTCCTCTTTGTTAAATACATTTTGGTATTAATCTCAACACGCACAGACAAATGATCAAGTGGCGACATTACAGCAATGGTTGTGTTCTGTCCAGAGCTAAGTGCTGCAGACGATGTGCATGTTTGTAAAGCGTTTTTTTTTTTTTTTTTATGAAAGGGAGCACGTAAGCACGTGCCCTGCGCTCTGTCGCGGCTGCCTACGGCACCATCAACAGGCGGATAAAATAGCGCGACCAATTTTCGCGTCATCTGTTAGCAAACGAAACAAGCCATGACCCCGTTGGACAATCGCTGCTAACTTCTGCTCCCACTCCGGTCTCTCAACGGGCGATGCCTGCAAAAGCAGACGCGCTTTCTTTATCCATCGGCTGATGGTGCTGTAGGCAGCCACCGCAGACCACGCGCTCGCGCGTTCCCTCTCATAAAAATTGATACTGCACAGAATTCGAGAAGACAGCATTCAGGCTTGGAGTAGCAAGCCATTCAGATCATAAGGGTACAGTGTGTTACTACTATATTTCACGTCCCAACGTTCACTTTTCATGTCCGGAAACATAATGAACTAAAACAAGCACACAGAAAAATGAGCTATGGGTGTCATTCGTAACAGGCCGCGTCAAGTGCCTTGACGAAACGCGGCGAGTTTCGCATACACCAGAAAATATGCCTACGAGCCCGTCACTTAACGCACACTTACCGTCAGTCTGTCTGGTCCATTCTATCACAGGTATTTGCTATCTGCACGGCTGCTCCCCGGAGGGCTAGGACGGTTGCGCTGTGCTTCCCAGATCAGGAACGAACGCGGCAACACGACTCCTGCACACGTACCACGTCATTGCATCAATAAAACCACCCACTAATCGTTTTTTTTTTTTTTTTTCAGACACAGCAGCGTTCTTTCTGAAGGACCCTTGACAAAGCAGCTTCACTTTCACCCAAGTCACCACCGTTACCGAGCTAACACATATCGATTCTTGACGTTTAACACAGGTATAAGCTGCAAGCTAAGCGCTATCTCCAGCACGTAACCATGGCGCTCACTCAAGAAATGCCGAAACCCAGAAAGAGTAAAGACCTGAAAACAAGATATCACCACAACCGGCGATCCCGCAAGCCATCGCAACTTGCCTACGAGTAACAGGCGCTGACTGCTACAGCCGCAGACAGTAATTTTTGCCTGTCACGAACAGCAGGTTACTAGAGCGGCCGGCGCCGCCACGCACGACGACACAGATTCTTCGTTTTTTTCCAAAGTATTTGTCAACCTCCCTGATGCACCTATTTCCCTGCAGCTGCAATCCTCAGAGGAGTCATCATCCTTAGGCCTAAAGTCCCACTTCTCGAACAATTTTACACGAACGTATAATGCAAAGTGCACAGCTGCTGACAAGAGGAAATTCAACATGTACTAACCATAATTACGCTTATGGTACGTGAGCCTGCTCCGACAGATGTGCGTTCGAATCTACATCGCACTCCAGCAAGCACCGTGCCCCTGCAAGCAAGCTGAAGCACCGCGGGCCATTCCGACCATGACCTACTACACTCCTGACCTGCCCAGAGAGCACCTCTTCCAGCGCCCACGTTCTAGTTCATACCTTCTGCCGCTAGGGCCGTCACCTACGAGCGGCGTGGCGCTAGGCAGCACCTGTTCGCTGACGTCAGCTTGAGTGTTCGTGGTCATATTTCGGCCAACAGAGCACTCATATTGCGTAATTATTATGCACTAATGAAAAATAATTTTGAAACAAATATTTCAAAAGTCATTCACAAATTCTTTGCAATTAAATGGACGCAACATCACATATGCTGTCCTACACTATGTAAGTCTACGGATTCTCGCATTTGTCCACCAGTGTGCAATAAATTTTTCGTCACACTGAACAGCTTACTTGACCAGTCATCTAAGTGAAAAAATAGTCACATATATGCCGGCTGTTCATCACGGAATGCAGCCGTTCTTACTCTAGCGCCGTCCAAACAGCCGTAAAGTAGCAGACGAACAGGTTATAGGTAGCGCCACCTACGGCGAGCGATTGAACGAGAGCGGGGACACGCGCTCCCATAGGAACCCCGCTATCTGAACAGGTCAGGAGTGTAGTAGGTCATGATTCCGACAGCCGTGCAAGCGATCTCAAGACGCCTGGTGGGTGACACGCATTCAACAATTTTCAATTTATGTAATAAAACCACGTAGTTTGGCCGTTTTACTTGTTTAAATACTCATTTTTACTTCCGCAAAATTTAGAAAATAACGGTACGACGTCAGTGAAATATTTCGTTGCCGAAGGGCGCACCATCCAGGTTCGCAAATTTGTTGAGATAAGATATCTGCGCTTTTGCGAAGCTCAAATGAGCGCGGGTCTTCCACAGCGATCACACTTGCGTATATTGAGGATTAAGTTACCGCGTTGCAATTTTCGTTTAGTCGCGAATGCGACGTCACACTTACGCAAACACATGGCATCAGCAACACTGTATGAGTGGGTGACGGACGGTTGTTCCGTGGGACGGTCGGATGGTCTGTACGGCGAATGTAATCGGCTGCTTGGAGGTGGAGAAAGCAGCTCGTCACGCATCCGATACTGCCCGTCCGCCAAATGCGGTGATCGGTTGTTGCGTGCTTGCATTTCTACAGGTTAGTGCTGACAGAACACATTGGTAGCTAGCTCGAACGTTTGCAACCAGTCCAGGAATATAAAGGCTTAACCAAGTTGTCGCGGAACGTCTAGCGGCCGCACTCGTAAATTTCGTTTGGGATGCAAGATACCGCGTAGTGTTTTGGTTTTGTCAGTAGGTGCATGCGCGCTAAAATAAGCCCAAGTCTGCCTTGATTGGTCATTTCACTTTGCAGCTGATGTGTGCATTGGTTTCGTTCTCGTAGCATTCGACAATATGGATAGCTCGCCGACTGTACTTTATGAAAGTACTGCTAGCGGTTCTGCAAGGTGCTAGTGAATAAGTAGTGGATCATGAAATTTAGGTAGCGGCGCGCGATTGTTCTGTAAAGCTGACATGCAACAAATAAAAACTTGTGCTTTTTCGTAGCGTGAACTCTCTTGTAATTCCGAGCCATGGCATCCGGAGAGGAGATCTGCGTAAGTTACCGATCTTCATTTATTGCATCTTGTTTTAGTGGATAGTAGCTTGGTGCGGCGTTAATGCATGCAATAAACGCCCGACCATCAGGCTTGCACAAACGCAGCTGTGACGTCTGTGCTAGAAAGCTTTATCGCCGTTTTAAACTAGGAAGCGTTTTCCTACTTCCCATGGACCTTGTTAATATGGTACAGATGACAGCATCCTCATAGCGTTCTTAATTCATTGTATTGCGTGTGGCTGGCAAAGTTATTCGTTTTGTATCTTGCGGTGCGCCCGGACGGAGAGCATTGTCCGCCCTTCAAGTTGCATGTGTCGTGTGCGGAGCGGCATAGTACTACATTAAAACCTGTACGTCACGTCGCCCTTTGTTCCCCGCCTTTGTACAACTCTGTATACATTATTGCGTTGGCTGGCAAGATGAGGTTTGCGCATGTGCAGCTAGTAGGTCATGCTTCATACCAAACGCATGCTGTACGTGTGACGCGTGATGTGTGTTTTCATAGAAATAAAAACGCCGTCAGATTATCAGGCTGTGCCCCGCCGCGGTGGTCGGTACTCGGCTGCTGACCCGCAGGTCGCGGGTTCAAATCCCGTCTGCGGCGGCTGCATTTTCGATGGAGGCGGAAATGTTGTAGGCCCGTGTGCTCAGATTTGGGTGCACGTTAAAGAACCCCAGGTAGTCGAAATTTCCGGAGGCCTCCACTACGGCGTCTCTAATAATCATATGGTGGTTTTGGGACGCTAAACCCTACATATCAATCAGATTATCAGGCTGTACTGAAAACAACAAACGCGATGGTAGATGTATATGAATATCAACCGCATAAGCGAAAAATGAGTGTATGTTCGTCACAGAAGGCTCTGAGCGAGTGGAAGGCATCGACAACGTTGTGCCGTGCTGTCAAATAGTATTGTGTCTAGCGATGCCCGTACACTTGTATATAGTACAAGAATTCGCCAAACCCGAACTGGTGATCACCTACAGTCCATCACATAATGGAATAAGCCTGTTATCTGCCAGTGCGTAGCGCTGTTAAAGCTGAGATCTGTTGCTTGGTTTTCTTGGAAGGTGGAAAGTTGTGGTCGGTTGCCAACGTGAACAGTAGAGCTTGGCCTCTGCCTGAAAAAAAAAAAAAAAAAGAAAAAAGCTGGCTGTAAGGTCCGTATTCATACAACAACCTTATTCTTATCTCCCATTTTGATATATCCATTTTGGGCCGTTAGTGCGTTTGAGAAACAAAGTATGCCGGTGTTCACAAACCAATCTTGCAGCGATCTTTTGCTCTGTTCCTGATTTTATTCCTTAATAACAACCACAAGCAGATGCGCAGAAACTTAAGGGAAAAGTAAGATAAGGTCATGGTTTACGAACATAGGCGTGCGCACAAGGCGGCGAGGCACCCTTCTAATCACCTGCAAGGGGGCGCGAAATCTGTCCCATCAGTGATGAAAAATAGGGCAATGTAGAATTACAATAGCTATGATGTTGTGAGAGCCATATGGAAAGGGATCATGGTTCCTGGTCTGACGTTCGGAAATGCGGTCTTGTGCATGAGATCAGAAGTTCAAGCAAGATTAGAAATTAAGCAACAAGAAATAGGTAGGCTTGCTTTAGGAGCTCACGGGAATACACCAAATCAGGGATTACAAGGTGATATGGGATGGACATCATTTGAGGGCAGGGAAGCTAACAGCAAGATAAAATTTGAGAAGCGATTGAGAGAAATGGGGGGGAGCGTTAGGCTAGGAAGGTTTTCAGCTTCTTGTACATGAAAAATGGCAATACAAAATGAAGGTAGTGAACCAGAAAATTGACGGGTAAATACTTAGAAAACAGCTGGGGGTCAAACGAAAAAGAACTATCACTTAAGAAGAAGGTGAAAGAAACAGAGACCGATATGTGTGAGAATTGGCATGATTAAAAAGTCCGCACTAGAGATCTATCGAGCTTTCAAGCAGGAAATTGCTAAGGAAAGATTCTATGATAATACTCAGGGTAGTTCTCTACTGTTTGAGGCCAGGACGGGAGTATAGCGAACCAAGACATATTGGGCCAAATACGAAGGGGTAGACATGGTATGCAGTGCATGTGGAGAGGAGCAGGAAACTGCCGAACACTTGATAATGTTCTCTAAAGGGCTTCACCCTATAGTTCAGGATGATGGCACAGAGTTTTTCAAAGCACTGGGGTTTAGGGACAGGGAGGGCAAAATAGACTTTAAACGGGTAGAATTAACTAGAAGAAGGTTATCTGGTTGGTGGCTAAAGTAAAGGCACAAGTGAAAATTAAACCATTCTCTGCAAAGTATCAGTCCTCAACTTCACTCTTTAAAGGAAAAAAAAAAAGATAAAGCTAGTTGTTGGTTCAGTAAGTATTATGGCTAGGTGGTGTTAGCCGCCACCCGATCTAAAGGGTACAGCCACATCAATTCATCCATCCATCCATCGACCTAACAGGGAGGGAGGGCGCTGCGATGAAGACGCCGTATGCCAGTGTTCTCAAACTCGCGCCCTGCGTGTGACGGTCTTCGCCCCATATACTTTTTTTTTTTCAATTGTAAGCAAGTGCGTGAGCTACACAGCATTGTTTCGTCAGGAAGCTCATGTGGTCACCATGTGTTAAAACGTAACCGTGAAACAAACAAACAGTATTTCAGAATCGGCGTCGACATTTTACTCATTTTGGAAATCGGTATCGCTGTTGCTGTTGGATGTAATCCTGCGCCAAACCTTCTTCTGTGACCCTTATTTGTGATATGGAAAAGGTTTCTTTTTAATAATACGGTTTGCTAACGATGTATAACCCGTGGTTTTGTGGTGTTCAACCCCACATATTAATCAATCAATGATGTGTAATAACCCCCCCCCTCACTTTTACCTTCTTCCCTGAACCGGCCCTTGCGGGGCTAAATTTCGTCACTCGCCGCCTAAGATGTGTTTGAAACTCGTGCGAGTGACAACGCCCACCTGACGAGAAGAGACAGACCGAATTACACCGCAAAATATGTCGCCAATCGACGTGTTCAAGATGTGGATAAGGCCGCGAACGAAAAATTACTGTCGAAATGTTTCGTGTGAAGCCAGGAGACTCCTCCGCTCTCTCTCCCCCCCAAAAAAGGGAGGGGGAACACAGTCGTGTTACAAACACTTTACACATATTAAGGAAAAACTCAAGTATGGAATGTTAATCAGAGAAAATGCGCATAGATCTACACGCCTTACTTACTCGGAAATCAGTCGCTACGTGATTTTCAAGTATTAATGTCATCATCATCATCAGCCTGACTACGTCCACTGCAGGACAAAAGCCTCTCGCATGTTCCGCCAGTCAACTCGGTCCTGTGCTTGCTGCTGCCAATTTATACCCGCAAACTTCTTAAATCACATATGCCCACTTAGCCTTCTGTCTCCCCCTAACCCGCT